TCCTCCCCCTCTATGCGACACTGGTCAGGCTGCAGCTAGAGTACTGCGTCCAGTTCTGGGCGCCGCACTTCAAGAGGGATGTGGACAACATGGAGAGGGTCCAGAGGAGGGCCACCCACATGATCAGGGGGCAGCAGGGCAGGCCCTGAGGAGAGGCTATGGAGGCTGAACAGGTTCAGGTCCCATAAGAGAAGGCTGAGGGGGGATCTAGTGGCCATTTACAGACTAGTCAGAGGGGACCAGCAGGCATTGGGGGAGTCCCTGTTCCCCCAGGCACTACCAGGAGTGACTAGAAATAATGGTCACAAGCTGGCAGAGGGTAGATTCAGACTGGACATCAGGAGGCGCTATTTCGCGGTCAGGGTGGCTAGGATCTGGAACCAGCTTCCAAGAGAAGTGGTGCTGGCTCCTACCCTGGGAGTCTAAGACAAGGCTAGATGAACACCTTGCTGGGGTCGTTTGACCCCAGTACTTTTTCCTGCTGTGGCAGAGGGTTCGACTTGATGATCTGCTCAGGTCCCTACCAACCCTATCAACTATGAAACAATCAAACAATAAGAGCAGAGCCTGAATCACCAAAACCCAACCAACACAGAGGAGCAGTGGCTGCAATTAGCACTGGGGAGAAAGAATCCAAGTATTTTTAAGGCACCTGTCACCATGGCCTCCAGAACCATCAGGCATACATACAGTACACTGTAAAAATGATGCATTTTGCAATTCTATTTTCACTTGCTTTCCTTGCTCCAAGTACTTTAGTCTACAGAGTACATAATCCTGGGCCCTTTATTACTCTTGTGGACTGAATTACTAAGGGGGGATTTTTATTAAACTGAAGTGGGGAAGAAAAAGAAGGAGAAAACCTGTTATAACAATCTCTTTATGAACTGTTGTTGCTAAAGTTGAAAGCTTATGCCCTCTGTGGCATAATATATATATTTATATATTTGAGTTCATCCAAACCACATATATCCATATATATATGGGATATGTGGAACTTTTAACCAAAAATCCCTGGTATCCAACTAACACATTCTGTCTGCTGCAAAACTAGGGTTGCAAGGGTTGCAAGCAGCATCCTAGACCACACTACTGGATGGGACATCCTGACCACACCCTGCATGTGCTATCAGGACAATAAATGTCCTCAATGGTACATGCTGGAACACAGTGATACCATTACACGAGACAAAAACAACAAAACAGGCCCTGAATGGAAGTTCTAATGGAAGAAATCCTTAGACATGCCTTTTTGAAAAGCTAATAGCAAAGAACCTGAGCTTGTAAACACTCAAAATCAGGCATAACATATATAATTTTATCTAGTCCCACTGACATTAGTACAACTGCTTGTAATACTAAGAACTACACCTATTAGTTTTGGCAGAACTGAGCCCTGCTTCAGCAGATCTAAAGGCTTCCTTAAATTGATAGCATGCAGTTTAATCATCCTGTTAGCCAACATTCGCAATCTGATAGATTGCAAGAGTGGCATATACTACCCTTGAGAATAAAGATATACAGGAGCCTAGCTCATAGTAGACCTAATGCCCTTATACACATGCACACAAATCATGAAGTCCAAAAAAGAGGAGAGCTAGTGGAGCTATGCTGTAAAGTTTTAAAGGACTGGCCCTTAAGTGTCTGTAGCAGAGATACGGAGAGTTCCAGCAATCACTGCACCTTTCCCAAGAGAGCCTTGAAATCAGGTGGTTTTAAAAACTAAAGATTATTCTTTAAATAAAAGATCTCAAATCTAGTGTTCAAACTCCTTAACATACATTGCTTAGCATTCACAGACACTGGTCTTCATTGGTCTCCAAACTGAAGTCCACAGGAAGACTCTGGGTCAGGCTAAGAACAAAATGCTTGAGAGATGGTAGGTTGCTGTTAACCTGAAAGTTACTTTTCTTTCCAACAGTCATATAAACTACAAGTAATAGACTGCTAGAACTAGAAGATGGAAAGAAACTGTTTCCCTCTCCTCAGACTGTCCAGTTTTATATAATTAGATTCACTGTCTCCCTCGTACACTCAGGTGCTCTTTTGTTGCAAAACCTTTATACACCAGTAGGGGAATCCAAATTTTTGTATTTGGCTGCAGAGCTCAAGATTCAGTGAATGGCATTTAGAATGGCTGTACAGACTGGATTTCTCCCCCCCACACACAATTCATTTAAGGAAAGAAAAGAAATGAAGTTGTTGCAGTCTCAAAATTACTCCCACTTTTGTAAAGACTATTGCCACAATTCAAAATTGCTCAGCTGAGTATATAGGAAAAATGTTTAATGAAGTTGTCTTCACAGCACAGTAGCACTCAACAATGAAACCATTACACACCATTCCCTTCATTAGCCTTCAACAGTGAAAACAAAATCCTGCTAAAACAAAGCCTGAACACATTTATTTTTCTTTTACCAAATGCGTAAAATCAGCCAGAAGCAAAATTTTTGATACATTTTAAAAACAGGCACAGAGACAGAGTGCTCAAAAACTGGTGATAGGAGTAGGATGAAAACCTAGCATAGGACAAAAATTGAAGCAGTATTGTATAGTATCACTTTCCTATCAAGAAGAAAAGCAATTAAAATATCCCAGATTCCTCAGGAAACTTAAGTACTTAAAAAGTGACCAGCAGTATATCACTGCTGTGTACAGCAAAATGATTTTATAGCAGTCAAGAAAATGACTTAAAGCTTTTCTTGACTATCTATGATTAGATGTGCATGTGCGCATGCGCACACCCCCCCCCAGAACAACAGGATGTGTCTAATATTTCACATGAGCATCCTAGGTAAGGCCACCCGATTATATACGCCTGTGATTACTGATGCCCGATTCTAGTACAAAGTCAGAGGATGGAAAAAGGAAGAAAGATTAAAGGGGTTAATTTCTAGTTGGGGTACAGAAGGCTGCTTCTTTATAGAAAATACTGCTATATATTTTCTAAATGAAACTTTAATTGTTAATGATCCACATCCGACAGGCTTCAACATAAAACATTTATACACATTTAAGCAGGAAACCAAGGGATAGAGTGCACAGGGACTGGAAAATTTTCATCATTCTGACCGAAAAAAGCAGTTCTTTAGATCCCTGTTGATACTCTGCATGTCCCATTTAAACATCAACCATGTTAAAAACACCTTCAAAGCAGACATGCTTAGCTAAACGCACTAGCAGCTAAGTGGTTTAACTTTAGGTTGCTATACCGCAGCATGCACAGTATGCTACAATATGCTTTTCCAGACACATGGGAGAGAGTAAATGAATAAAGACAGGGTTAGAGAAGAGACATAGCTGGAGTGGAGCTTGCATGCAAGATTTGGCAGGTAGTAATTTCAGCTACAAGCAGCCTGCTTGACTTCAAGGTTGATTTTATGATTTGATGGAATATTTCAGTGCATTGTAAAGGTACTTGAGAGTGATGGATTCAGAACAACCTGAAGATGCGTTTAAAATAGACTGGATGTAAAGCAAAAACTATGCCTGCTCCAGAGAACCTCTTCCATTTATCACAATATGCCTAGCAATCATGTTTTGCTGCCTTTTTAATAAGTTATCCCCTTCCCTGCCATTATCTGGAAAACTCATACAAAACACGAGTCATTAGTGACTATAGACAGAAAAACATTTTACTTCCTCACTTTAGGGGAAGGAGTTTTGAGAGGCAAGTATGACTTTTAGATGGTGTCTTTTTCAGCAGAAATTTTCTGCTTACTATTACTGCTAAAAATGAGGGTCTAACAACATGTAGTCATCCCCAAAGGACTCTGTTAAAGTACCACAACCCTGATTTGCAACCTGCTTCCGACCGAGCGAGAGGTTTAAACCCTTCTTCGGCAGTGATTATGCATCAGATTCCTTGACAAATCTGAGATGGCAATGCCTACTGGTTGATCGAATGAGACCCCTAAGTTCAGAAAGCTGCACTAAAAGACCTGGCTGCAAAATGCAGGAACATAAATCCATTTCACCAGCTTGTCCCAAGCAACAAGCCGCTGGCTGCCTTAATTGTTATTCAGAAGGCTTGTTTGCCTTGCAGGCAGCATCCCACAAGGTTGCTGTTTGACATCGGATGGAAAATACAAGAGAACATTTAGATTTTTTTTTTAAACAAAACAAAATGCCTCAACAACCTTAGTCTCTTATCATAGAGGTTGAGTGTTTATAGGACTGCATCTGTTCCCAGAAGCAGCAACCAGGTCTCCTTCTCAAAGTGCATGAAACCCTCATAGTTTCCCGGATTGCAAGGACCACAGTAATACAAACAATTTCATCAGCGATGCAGCCCTCCCAGGGCGGGCTGCCAAGCAGGCTCCTTCACTCACAGGACTTGGGGGCTTGCCGGGGGAGACCCAGAAGGGCTGCAGGAGCATCCGGCCGGGAGCAGAGCGCATGTTCAAGCGGGCGCACGCCTCCTCGCTCCCCGGCCCAGGCAAAGCTCGCCTCGCCGTACCTTCCCTGCGCTCACCGCCGGCACGCCTTCCCTCTCGTTTCTGGTCACGGCAGCTCATGCAGCCGGCGGAGCCAAGTCGGGCTCCCAGAAGGATTTTCCCGGTAATGCTGAAGACAGCCTGAGATTTGTCTGACAAGCGAGGCGGCTTAAATCACAAACCAGCCCTGAACTACGGGGGCACGGAGGCGCAAACGCCTTTGGCCCACCACGCCGCCCGACTCCGACAGCCAGGAAAGGTGCCCAAGGAGGGCGGTGGGTGCCGGGGCCCCTCCACTCGCCCGTGGCACCGACGCGGAAGCGGGCTGCGGTACCCACCTCTGTGCCTGACCCGGCCACCCCGCCCCGCCTGGAGCGAGCCCCGTCCCCGCCGCCCGGCCGGCAGCGCTGGGGGAGCGGGGCCGCGTGCTGCCCCGCGCACCTTGTAGACCTTGCCGAAGGCGCCGTCGCCCAGCTCGCCCAGGATCTCCCACACGTCGCTGGGGTCCAGGTCGCGGCGGACGTGCTCGTACTCCTTGGAGCGCCGCTTCTCGAAGGTGGAGAGCCGCAGCATGCGGCGGAAATTGGCGAACGCCATGGGCATGGGCATGGGCGGCGGCGGCGAGCGTCCCGCGGGACCAGCGCGCGGACAGCGCCGAGCACATGGAGCCCGAGCCGCTCCACCTGCCGGCGCCGCCCACCCATTGGCTGCCCGGAACGTTCCACCGGCCCCGCCCCGCCTTCGCGTTCCACTGGGGCGGGGCCTCTTTCCAGGAGCCCCGCCCCCCGGCGGACGCGGGAGGTCCTGTCCTGGGTGGGTTGCTGCGCGCGGGGGGTGGGGGGCGGAGCGCGCTCCCACTCGGACGCAGGTGGCTGCAACTATGCACCTATTGGACAGGGAGGTGCTTGCTCACCAGCCACCTCTTTATGGGATCGCAATCCACCTCCCCAAGTAACTGGGCAGCCGCCAGTGGGCCAGCTCCTGCAAAGGCTGGCCTGACTTCAGCAGGCCCCTCCAGTGCGTAAAGTGATGCAGATACATTGATTTATGCTCCGAACAAGCGTAGTGGCCTCTTAACCCGGCAGGGGAAATACCGTGGACTTGTGTGCAAGAAGGCAGTTTTCGTGAACCGCTTTGCAGGAGAACTGCCCTTCTGGCTTGGTTCGGGACCTGCCGACGTGCAGCGGCTGTAAGCCCAGTTCCTGGAAATGGGAGTCTCCTCCCTTGCTTGCCCCTGGGGCCTTCTGGCTAAAAGCAAGCAAAACTGGAACCCCAAGCCTCCAGGCGTGGGCCTGCAAGCAGGATGCTGCCAAAGGTGTTGGAAACATCTGAAGCCCCAGGTGCGGGTGGAGGACGATTGCCGGTAGTAGGGCCACTTACGGTTCTGAACTTTTGGATTTGGAATTAGTTTGGGCTAATTTGGCCTTGCGTACAAATTATATATATTTAAAATGTGCACTGATTTATGCTGGAACGTGTCTCTTTTTAGAAGGTACATTTGCTATTACGGTAAGAAATCACTATGATACTTTGCTTCCAGATCACACCATTCATCCATCCAAGCATTTACAAACATTAATGACACCATATCGATGAAGCCTGAACATATATCCCATTTTACAGATACATAGATTAAGTCACAAAGTAGTTTAAATAGGTTGGCCCCACTGGAAAGTGTTGCTGAGAATGGCACTTGGCTCTCCTAATTCTCTATTTTTGACTTCTTTATCAACACACAGCTTGTGTGAAATATGAATAATAAAATGTAGCCCTACAAAAGTTTCACACAAGTCAAAGTTTCTTTGTTTTCATTCGTGGCTACATACCAAGATACAGTCATGCACTTAAGCATTACACAGATGACTGATCCAGTTGAACACAATAGGGTCACTCGCATGTGCAGTGCTTGCACGATTGAGTCATGCTTGTAAGTTTTAATAAAATCATAGATATCTGATTCTAACCCAAAAAAATAAAATGATCCTGGCAGGAGAAAAGCACTTCTTCCCTCAAGTTCAGCATCAGCAAAAGCAGCCAGATGAATTGTCATGAAATTTTTCACACCTAAAATTGAAATTAATAACCTGGGAGTTGTTTTTATCTTTAGAAAATGGGAGATTTTGAAGGGTTGGAACCCAAATCACTTAAGTCACAATAGTTTGCATATCCTAAATTACCTACAGAGAACTTCAAATCAGTATAAAGCAGGGACATCTAGGGGAATTATTTGATACTGCAGTGATATGCCTGGGAACTTGCCTGGGCTTAGAACTGAGTTTGCTGGTAGAGCATTAGATCAGCAACACTCCCCACCAGCAAACACGCAACATACTCAGTTGTACCCTCAAGTATAACAGCATGGCTTGTACCAGTTGCCTGTACAAAATCAGGTACACTAGCATGACAGCTACACTGGTTAGGGAAACAGGTTTTTTTTAACTCTAGTGACAGAAGTTGTAATGTAAAGATGTTCTCTAAGATGGAAACTGAGGAAGTTGGTAATTACGAGCTACTTAGTTAGGCTAAAGGACTGCAGAGGTTTGCCTACTGCTCCAGGATAAAATGTGTCTAGTTCTTCTCATGCACGCATGCCCGTGTTCATTGAACCTGGTGATCACTATAATAGCTATGTTGGCAAAACTTTTAAGTGTAGGCAGCACTGGGCTAGAGACCATCTGGTCCTGACCGGTTTTTATGTTGCGTCTCCTGAAATGGTTCCTTTCTACAATATTGAACGTGATGCTTCTTTGACGTGGACGTCACTGCTGCTGATGTGGATTTGTACTGATGTGGCCAACCCTTGTGGTTCTGTTGGCAGATTTACAATATATGATACATTATTTAAAGCTCTGGTTCCCAGATTTTAGTTTCATTTTTTTAAAAAGATAAGTTCCAAGCCCTGATAAATATAGGAAAAATGTTGAAAATGTGACCCAATTGCACTTTAGAAATCAGAAGGCAAATGAAATGACCCAACATTGTTTTGTTTCTTAGCCAATTTAATTTTTCCTGGGATTTGACTCAACATGTGGGTTTGGCAATACTAGAGCAAGAAGAGAATCAGGGCTATTGTTTCCAGCATTTTAAACTTGTTATATCTGCATCTTTTTTGTGTGCACTGTGCTCACCCCTTGGTTAATTCTTATTGTGAACTACCTTAATTCATAATTGCACTAGTGACAGGGAATCCCAACCCTAATCTCAGTCCCTGTTGTGCCAGGAGCTGTACAAATACATATCCAAAGACAAGCCCGGCCCAAACGGCTTGTCAGCTAAAAAGGCAGGAGAAAACCAAAGGACGCAATCATAGTTATATGCGTCCTCTGTACACACTTGTGTCATGGGCTTTCTAGGAGTTTTGGTCATGCTAGGCCGTAGATAAGCTGTAAAGGCATTGCAAAGGACCTTGAGAGTAGCAGGCTTCATTGACTGCTGGGTGACCTGATAAAAGATTCAGTGAGCCAAAATGCTGTAAAAAATAGTAGCTGAACAAACTGAGGAGTAAAAAGTTTAGAACTCACTAGTAAAGTAGAGATAAGAAGTGAGCTGTACTCAGCAGGGGGTGAGCTGGAGATACCTGAAATCAGCAGGGAATAAGCCCTAGATGCCCAAAGTTGGTAGGGGGGAGCTGAAATTGGCAAGGAATGAGCTTCAGGTGTCCAGACTTGGCAAAGAGACAAGTAAAAAGGGGACATCTGGACAAAGAGAGGAATAAGAATTGGAATGGGGTAGGGGCATCCGGGGTTGTGAGACTCACCCTTTGTAGCGACTTAGGGGCTGTCAGTGGGCATGATGAATCACTTACTACTCTACTGTCTGTGCCATTTCTCTGAGCTGGGCTGATTGCTATACAGACCCACTAGTGTATTATCCTAAAAGACAATCAAACTGTCAGAGCTTTTGTCACTGAACATGAATTTAAATTTTTCTTTCTGCATCACACCCAAGTTCTGGGAAGCTGGTTGCAAGCAACAGCCTCTGAGAGCACACCGACCCAAGCAGCCTGAACACTAAGAGTGACACCAGGCAAGAGGCTGGTTAGGAACTCTCCCAACCCCTGAGCACCGGGAACAAGTTTCACTAAAGCTAAGCTGAATCAGCAGATGCATTCTCACCAATCCATGACTGTTCTTCTAGTTTTAAAAATGCTATTAGGAATGAAAGACAGGAGACTCAAAAATATTCAACAAGCACAGAAAATCTGTTGCAGACTCAGAATAGTTGGCCTGGTTCTGCAAGCACTTGACACCTGCCACAGACCTGAATAGTTCCATTGAGGTGAATAGAACTACTCACAGTAGTCAAAGTCAATGTACAAGACTCAGCGGTGTGTGTAGGATCAAGCTTTTTATACAAGATCTCCATCCTATGGGAGGGAAACTGTTGACTTAACTCTGCTAGATTGCTTAAGTATTACGCTGTAATTTAGTGTGTGTCTATGTAAAGATGTTGCACTTCTATAACTGTCACCTATTGACAACAGGTGCAACCCCTAGTGTGGACTCAATTATATTGGTATAAATGTGTCTTGCACTAGTTATTTCCCTTCTTCATAAGAAATAGAAACAGCGCTAAGGGTGTTGCATCACTTTCATAATACCAGCAGTTATTGTCATACAATTTTTTTATTATAATAGATTTCATAGATTTCATAGACATTAGGGGCTGGAAGGAACCTCAGAAGATCATTGAGTTCAGCCCTCCTCATCCCAGCAAGATAAACATCCAAACACCTTTTGAATGAGTCCAGAGTAGGTGTTTGCACCACCTCTGGGGGAAAGTCTGTTCCAGGCCCTGGACACTTGGACTGTGAAGAAGTTTTTCCTTATGTTCAATCTAAATCAGCCTTCTAGGAGTTTCTGGCTGTTGGACATTGTTATTCTTTGGGCAGCTCTGGTGAACAACTGGTCTCCCAGATCCTGATGTATCCCCCTTATGTACTTATAGGCTGCCACCAAGTCCCCTGTGAGCCTTCTCTTCTCCAGGCTGAAGAGTCCCACGTCCCTCAGCCTCTCCTCGTAAGGCTTGCTCTCTTGGCCTTTGATCATACAGGTGGCTCTCCTCTGGACTCTCTCAAACCTATCCATGTCCCCCCTGAACTGGGGGCCCCAAAACTGGATGCAGTACTCTAGTTGAGGCCTCACCAAGGCCGAGTAAAGCGGGAGGTTGATGTCCCTGGTTTTGCTAGAGATGCATCGATGGATGCATGCCAGGGTTTGGTTAGCTTTACTGGCCATGGCATTGCATCTTTGGCTCATGTTCATCTTGTGGTTAATTGAGACCCCTAAGACTTTTTTGGTCATGGTGCTAGCGAGCATAGCACTGCCGAGCCTATAAGTATGATGCTGGTTGTTCCTCCCAAGGTGGAGCACCCTGCACTTCTCTACATTAAATGCCATCAGGTTTTGGTCCACTCACCTTGCAAGGGTGTCCAGGTTGGTCTGTATCCCCAGCCTATTTTCTAGTGTGACTGCCTTCCCTCAGAGTTTGGTGTTGTTTGCAAACTTTACCAGTCCACATCTAACACCCGAATCCGGATCATTAATGAAGATGTTGAAGAGTACCGGCCTGAGAACTGAGCCCTGAGGGACTCCACTGGTCATCTGGTACCACACTGATTTGCTCCCATCAACTAGTACTTGTTGGGTCCGACCCCAGAGCCGGTTCTTCAGCCATCAGACCATGAGAGGGTTGAGGC